GAAAAGATGAATAAAAACTGAAAAGTTCAGCAAAACTGCTGAAGATATTTTCAGAATTCCTTGAACCAAACATTTCTTTTTAAAAAGTTATGTAAGGTCAATGCCATGGCCAATGATTGGAACCCGAGTCCACGTCAGTTCATTAATGGCAGAGCTCAGAGTAAGGGAAGCATTATAGAACTTGTCAAGGGTGCAATTCCCAACACCACACAGCAAAATTCCATTGAACAGTAAAAAAATGAAGACTGATGAGAGACCTGCTGTCACCTTGTGATTCATTAGGAGATAGCAAAAAGTGTTGGCTGTGTGTGACAGAGTCAGAAATTGCCTTTATGCAAGTTATTATTTTAAAGATTTGAAAGCTTTACCTTGGTATATTTTATCATATTTATCCTCTAATTTTGTTAAAAGAAGAAAAAAAGAAAAAAGACCATCGTACAGTGAGCTGGGTCAGCTGCCACCCAGGAAAACTGTGAGTATCCTCTGGCAGGTATGGGTGCTGGGCACAATGGAGCAGGCCAAGAAGAGTTGTAGCTGGGACCAGGAATATCTAACTAGCAATCAGGAACACACTAATCGCCCTGGATCTACTCCTCCACAGATCCAACGGGGTTGGAGTGCCTGGGCAGCTGGCGTGGAAGAGAGGAGCGACATCAGGCAACAAAGGGCGAGGACGTGGACGCAGGGGGGGCCCGGCTGGATTAGACGTGGCCTTTTTGTAGGATCTTTTATTCTTGCTGTTCAGTTTTTTTTTTTACTCAGTGTTATTTAAGACTATTAACCCTGTTTTTGTTTTTTGGGTGGTTCCACCCTTTTTTGTTATTGAATTGTAATAAATCTATCTGTGAATCCTTCGGAGTCCTCGGCACTTAAACCCTTAGGAGAAGTTGTCGGTTTTAAGTTGAAATCTTCATCCACCCCCAAGTGATCAGTGTTTTTAAGATGCAGCCTGGCTATTGGGCCAGACTGTAAAGAAACAACTCTGCAACAGGATATTGGAAATGAGAAAGAGGCTCCTAGAATAGCTGAAGCTGTCTGTGAATTTTTATCTATAAAATACATCCACCATGACCTCCATAAATGTCAAACCTGCTGTCACCATCCAAATGCCAATTGAATTTCTTAGATTTTTTTCTTCAGATGGAAGCATGGAAATAAACATTAGCAGGTACAAAAGGACAATAACAGCCAGTCACACAGTACTAATGTATTTTTGAAAGATTTCTTTTCTTGTGAATGTGTTCTTTTGTTGTTCAGAAAACCTATTTATTTTAGTTAACCCATCTGATTTCACTTGTAGACGCTTATGGGGAATGGGTAATGCCTTCGAATTGTACAACATATTTCCATTGAATTTATGAATGTTCTCTAGTCCCGGTGGCAGAAGCGAATCCAAGCATGCACTTGGCTGAAGGCACACTGAATGGGGCTGCTTGAACCTCAAAGGGAAAATGACAAGCAATCCTACTTATTCACACCTATTGACAAATCCACCCAATGATGTGCGGTTTTAATATTTATTTCCTGAAAGAACTGCTCCCTAAATGTAACTAGTGTACCAGTACTTTCTTTTGTAAGCCTATTTAATCAATGAATGGTTACAGTATTATAGTACTGTTATTGGTTTTTTTCCTAGTTTTGTGAGAACTGATGACACCTCTCACGGAAAATTACACATTACTTCTGTTTGGGGTCTCCAGCTGTATAAAATTGTGTAATTTACTGGATTTGCATGTGCTGTGATCCGAGATTTTTAGGAGTATTTCGATTTTTGTTACTTGACAGTTGCATAACAGTTTGTTCCTGGGAGGTCAAACGGGGAACTCAGTACAAACACAATATTACGCCCCACCTTTTAGTGGCCCTAAGGGGCACACAAAACTCCACCAGTGACCCAACAAACTCATAAAACTCCTCTAAAGTAATAAAGGCTTTATTTAATAAAAATGTGCAAAAGGATCAGGACACTCAATTAAGACAACAAAATACACAAGAGAACACAACAAAACTCTCAGCTGAGCGACCAGACCAGCCCCATGCTGAAAGCCTCCACACTTCTGCTGCTGGGACCAGAGTTTTTCAAGCCTTCCTCTCCAGGTGCATCTCATGAAGTAATCAGGGTGGGGCTGGGCGGAGCTATAGGGGAGACAGGACAGGGAAAGGACAAAAAACACTGGGAAGGCATGCTGCTGTAACACACAAGTAATGCCTTTTTCATCAGATGTCCAGTTTTTGGCAAGGGGTAGGGTTACCAGTTCAATATTTTCCTATATATAAAGTCAGAAGAAAATAAAAACATTTTGAAGATTAAAAAAAAGAAAAAACATTTTATTTTTTTACACATACAACAGTGGAAGTAAAACCATTTTGAAGGGTTAAATTTGACTGAAACTTAACTGTATTTAGTGTATTTACTGTGATTGGTCTCCATGTCACTGATAGATGTTGATCAGGTTTGTTAGGTTACACCAGTTCAACCCCTTCATTATTCCACTTCTCTTCTTTCTAGTAAGTACAAGTCCATTAAGTGCAATCTGTTTATAACATTTTCAAAACAATGTCACAAAAATAACACTAAATGCCATATAACCTGAGCTATTCAATGTTTTCATTATTATTATCATTATTAATTGCATAATCAATTAATTATCTGGTTTCACAGACCAAGTATATATTATGCATTTTTGGACAATTACAGTAACATAAAACATTTTTTTTTCAAATACAGTTCTCATACTTTTTATGTGGATTATATTATCACTGTATCCTATAGGGTCTATTTTTAGTTTCTGAATGCCTGCACTGAGGCCTGATACCACAAACAGATTTAAGAACATAGTTTGACTGAACATGATTCTATGCAGGATAACATTTGTACATTAGAATTGAAAAGCACTCTAATACAAACCTTTGAAAGGGCTAGTTGTCAGTTTTGTCTGCTGCCAAATGTGGTTTCTTGCCGGGAGCGAGTGGTGGTGATGGCTGCTTGATGAGAGCTTCAGCTATCGTTGCCTTTACAGTACAAGAGGTTATAATAGCACCTCTTAGCAGCGCTACTTCTTCAGGGCAGACTGGACACTACAGTGACTGGTTATCAGAATGTGACAAGATGGTCCAGATAGGCAATAGCAAAACTCAACAGTAGCTTCTTTAATTACAGTTATACAAACTATTTGCAAAATATTTGCGGCTAATAGGAGCAGGCTATGCTGGGATGACTTTTTGAAGCAGTGGAGAAATTATTCTATGCCATTATATCTTTTGTTCTACAACTGCCCTCTAATATCCACATTGATTTCGCTCCATTTGCCAGTACTTCCACCCCCAACCCCCCAATGAAGGTGACATTTGCTCTGCTTACTTCCTTCCATAACGTAAAGGCCAACAGTTGAGGGGAAACAGATGGAAATTCTGCTCTCAGTACTGGCAATCAGCATAGTTCACCATTCAAATTATTTCAGCACAAACCTGAGACCACAAAATCATATTATCTACAGAAAAACTCAATTGAACTGAATGTGGCATGGCTGAAGTTGGATATTACTGTGCTTCTCCTGTAAGTGGGCAAGTGTTTTACACTGTAATTATCTCACATCTCTCAAAGGTAGCTATGGTTGTTACCATTTTACTAAAGGTAAGCCTGGTTATTCTATACAATGTCTTCAGTAAACTTTTAGTTAGTTCTATTTCCTGCATGTACTGGCAAATTCAAAATACACTATTCTGCAAGTCAATAGCCAACTGAATTTTTAGTGTCAGTTCAATATACTGCGGTCCCTGACTACATGAAAAATCCAAAGAAGGGAAGAAACTCTGAAAGTCTGATGCAGTTTCAGTGACTGATTGAGAGCTTATTCAGTCCTCAGTGAGCATTTGTGATTTAGTAAGATCAGCTTGCACTCACATACTCTACAAACGATTTAAAACAAAAATAGACAAGAATGGGAAGTCTGAGAGGGAATATTTTTATTACATTTGTCCAAACTGGTCCATCTGCAGCACCATTCCTCTGTCTGCCCACGCACAGCAGGTTACATAAATGGTTTCAATGCTCCAGCCCACTCAGTGTTTTTATGGGCAGCCCACAAGTGAAAAAATGAAAAATGTATTTATTCTCTAAATGACCTATGATTCTCACACTGGGCAAGAAAAGTTTCACCACTTGCAGCCAGTCTTCAGTGACCTTGGTTCAAGTATTTGCATCACTGATTTAAGTTTGGTGCCACTGACATCCTGTTAAACCATGACCCCAAAGTTTGCCTAACCTCATCTGAGTGGTTTTAACCACCTAACATGAACTTTATTTTAGTTGTCAGTATATATTCAATTGAAAGGCTTTGGCAGTGAACGATTTGCAGATACATATACAATGAACGTTTTGTGAGATTAAAGGGATGGACACAAGATAACATAATTTGGTCCTGGTCCAAGAAAATCAATTGCAACCACACAGCCTGTCAAGAAGATGTAAACTTGCAGACAGAGTAAAGTCTCTCAGCCGGAACCTCAGACAATTTTTTTCATTTGAGATCAGACAGCCCTATAAACCCAGTTATAAATGACTGGGCTTCCGCATTACCATGTCTGTGTCCATATACATCTATGTACACTTTACTGTTTTAGTGATTAATATTTTAGCCATACAGTATTAATGCAACTTTGTTCGCACCTGAAACTGAATCAGACTGAGCTCCAACCCCAGAAAACGATGCTAATGATCTTTATCTGTGCCTCTCCATGGGCTGCGTGATGTATCATCATAAAAGACAAAGATGTGAGAAGCAGTTGGAAAGGTTGAATGTGTAGAGATTGTAGCAAGCACCATCTTTCTAACCTGCTGAGTCTCTTACTCTCCCTTCACCTGTAACACAGTTTTCATAAATAAGATGCAGCACATGGATTAAAAAATAGCACAGACACAGTCACAGGTCAGTGTATCTACCCAAACAGAATACTCAACTAGTGAAAAGAACCACGAAGAAGTGACAAAGATACAGACAGAGACATGCCAGACATCTTTATTTTCCAGTGTAAGTGAGAATAATTTATTTTCTATTCAGTTTGCAGATGATAGCAGTCGATAAAAAAAAACTCACAAAAAAAAAAAGACTATGAACCATGCACTCTAGACTCAATTGTAACGCTGCCTCCGCCTCTTCAAGTATCTTCTCGACTCCTCTTCTCCTCACCTACTGACTCTTCGCTATCTCTAACCTTCTCTTCTGTCTTTTCTTCACTTAATAAGGAAGCTGAGAGACAGAGGATTGAAAGGTAGAGATAGGGAAAAGACAGGAACAAAGTAGAGAGTAGGGAGAGAAGAAGGAACAGATATAAATATATGATTTTGTTTTTACACAACACACTTTTAGCATACGGCAGAGAAATGACAAGAGAGAATAGAAAATACTTGTTCTAACAGTTTGTGGAAGCATGTAATCAGGCAAAATTGCTCAAACGCTTGCTGAGGACGCATTTGTGTTTATTAAAAGGGGAAGGGAAATTCAGGAGCAGCTGACTTAATCAGCCCTTAAAAATGGTTATATGCCAATCAAAATTCAAAACATGCACTTTACTAATAAAATGGAAATCACAGTCAAATGTAAATAAAATCAATTTAAAATGACACTTCTTGGAGTAGCAATAAAGTGTACTAGCGTATCTAATTATACTAAATACACATCTGCTTCATGAACTTATTATGCCACTACAGAGATGGCACTCACTGCTTCCTCATTAGTTTTTTGCTAAACATGTGAAATGTTTATATGTTCCATATAAAACAATAAGTACACAGTAAGTATCGGTATATTGATCTAGTTTAGATGAATTTAAAAATGCACCCTTGCAGTCCATCTCAAACTGTATTTTCATTTCAAGAACCAGCCACAACTTTAGTGCTCTACAAATCACATTTCACTCCAATATTTCTGTAATCTTTCTTTTTGTATAGTTGAAGTGATTAACAAAGGGGAGGAACAGAGAAGACTCTATCTGAGCATTTCCACTACAGATACTGTAGCGATCATGTCAACATTGTATTTTGTAGGTGTGGGCCATTTTCAAATATCTTCATAATTTCCGGCACAAGTGTCCTGGATCAAACTCTGCAATTTGCTAAATATTATAGGGAACACAGACTGTTCAGTTTCTAAACTTGAAGTAAATTCCTTTTCAATTAATAGCTGTTGTAACCTGGAGATTCTTTTGGTCGATGCACAGCAGGTCAACTGCACATGCACAAATTGTCTGTAACAGTTAACATACAGTTCAACACATATAAGGAATAAAATAATAAATGAATGATTAATAAACTTCTGAATTGATGTTCTACTTAAAGGGGGGTTCCCCATTTTCAACGCAATTAGTACTGAATTACAGGGAAATTCTTGGTGATTTAAGTCTGCAGACAACAGTTACTTGACTTCAAGGCCCCCCACTGACCAGGCATACTGCAATTTGATCCTATTTCAAGCTTAAGGTCACAACAAGTTTCAAGCCCCCACTACAATAAATGATTTGCCCCGGTGAAGTGCCCTCAACATCCTGAATCCCTTTCAGCTCCAGAGGTGAGTCTCTGCAGCTGGATGTGCTCTATTGTCGTGCTGTAATATCCTACAGATGCTCCAGTGGCGATGAATTGGACCCAGACTCTGCAGACCGGCAGAGTGTTTTCTGTCACACATTGAACCTTTTTTATGTAGTGGCGACCTTTAGCTCAAAGCGGGACTAAATTGCTGCTGTTCTGGCTCACTAAGCTGCAGGGTTTTAGTTTCCAAGCACCGTCAGTATGTGACGACCTATAGAAAACATCCAAGCCAGAGCCATGATTTCTGATATTAGGCGTATAGAAGGAAAAAAAAATGAACACACTGTATATTGAGTGTACAGCAAAATATCGAAGAAATGTAATGCATAAAGAAAGTCAGAGTGCAAATCTCTGTTGAAGTTTTGGCGGGAAGATTGGTCTCTGGAGAAGGAACTTTGGCTTGTACATCTTGGAGGGAGTGTTTTCAATCGAGCATCTGTCTTAAAATCAAAGGAATAGTGGGAATGGATGGATCCTGTTTTGGCCTGGATTTTTGCACCGTGTCTGCAATACCTTTGCAATGATTTTATGTCAACTTTAGTGATTTTAAGATTCATTGTATGCTTGTATATTGTGTTTGAATAACTGTCAAGTAAACTGGATGAAACTCGTGCGGGGATCTGTACAGTGGGACTGTATCGTTGCTATAGTTACCTGTAAGGGTATCCATGGTACTTGGACCTGAAAATGGAGAGCAGGAAGCTGAAGAAAAACACCACCAAGCCAAGGCCAACCAGGCAGATGACTGCAAAAACACACACATGCACATACAAGGTCATCAGGCTATATTGCTGGTTAGAATGGCAGGATCAGAATATAACATTAGGGCGGAATAAAGACAATGCATGAAAAAACTGCAGCATCTTTAAAAGTAATCTAAACAATAGATGATTTGGAATTTAAATATTTTCCCAAACTTTTTGCAGGTCCTGCAGACACCCTGATATATGCATAATAATTATTAGACAATGGCCTGCGATTCGATTCCGGGCTAAAGGCATCCATTTAAATCATTTCACGCACATTATAACCACTGATGCAACTCTGTTTGATCTCTGTTTGAATTGAATGTGCTTGCAGGGTTTAGACAGACTACACACTAAAAACATCCGCCTCTCTTCATGCTGGTTGGTTCAGGCACACACACAAACACTTGCATGGAAGCAGCTCCTCAGGCCTACATACAAACTCTGAATGATAACATAAAAACCTTTGCTAAAAACTAGTTGAGAGAACTTCTAAAACAATTCCTGGAGCTCATCATCGTGCCAAAACCCTTTAATATTTACTTTTATTTAGAAAATCCCTCAACGTATATGCCACTGCCCCTCTCTCATTATCTATTTTGTGGTGTTGCAGAAAATTGTGTTTGCTTCTATTATCATCTTATTTCCTCAGTGGCTATTCTAAAGTGAAATATACATAAGCGTGATGCGTGTCTGTGTGTCTGTATGTGTGGGTGTGTGAGTGTATGCACACACCCTTATGTAGCAGCTAATCCTTGAGAAGCACTGTGTTAAATTAAACTGTCACCACCGACTGATATTGTTAATCAGGGATTAGGATGAGGACCTCTCCTGGAGACTAAATAGTGAGATATCCGCTTGTTGCCAGTGTGTGTGTGTGTGTGTGTGTGTGTGTGTGTGAGTGTGTGTGAGAGAGAGAGAGAGAGAGAGAGAGAGAGAGAGAGAGAGATTAATAGAGAGGAGGCAATGTCAGAACAAAAGATTTGGCTGGGAAAATGTAAGACAGATTCTCAGTGTCAATTTGTGTGTATGTGCTGTCATTCATCTTCAGGGCTCCAGTGTTTGTGTGTCTGTGTTTGTCTATGAGTGTGTGTGTGTATTGTGATCTGTAATGCATGTATGTATACGACTATGTCTACTGCCATCGCTCAGTGTCAGCTCCATAACTGTTCCCTTTTTCCTTCTTTGTTTCACTTTCTACGCATACCATCCATTTACTACTTAACATGAGAATCATGACACACACACACACTGTATGTGTGAGAGAGACAGCAATTGATACTACACACATACACAAATGCACAGGAGGCCCCATCAGCAATCAGTGTGTGTGGGTGTGTGTGTGTGCATTTTCTTCAACTTCTATTCTTGTGAGGACTCTTATTTACTTAAATATATTTTTAGATGACAGATCTGGCGTTAAATAAAGGCTATGCTGATAACTAATTCCAGACAATGTCCTGATGGTTATTCTAATACAAACTGTGTGTGTGTGTGTGTGTGTGTGTGACATTGCCTGAATGACTTGATTGAGAGCACTGCATATTTGAGAGTGTCTTCAAGGAAAGCCCTTATGCCCCTGTGCTCCCTGGGTTGCTACGTGTGAGAGAGCCTGTGAGTGTGTGAGCGACAGACACAACGTCTGTGCATCTTCATTAAGCATAGTGGGATGTATTTCCCATAGCTCATCAATTATGACTGAGAGATGTCTTAGTGTGCAACCATGGATAATGACACTCCCATATACACACACTAAGCATGCTAATATGCTAAGAGATTTATGACCTTGGCGAAATGACAAGTTGTTTAAGCTGAATGATGTCCCTCAATGACAAAGGTGGTAATCCCTCTTTTGACTGTATGACTTGGCTCAATTCAAATCATGATATATTGGCATGGTAAAAATAGACTTACATTTCCCAAGCAGGGGGAAGCCAATACACATATTAATTTAAGCCTATCTCATTTGGAGGACAAATATGAAATGATATTGTGTTGCTAAATGGTTCTTAACAGTTTATTCTCTGATTAGCAACTGGCTGCAAGTGACATTAAGTGGCTCAAACTCTGGATACAATCACTCACAATTCTTTGTTGCTTTTACTGTGCACATCTGCACACAAAACATTTGTATGTTTTCCAAGGGAACCATGCAAAGGTGCAGGCTTTGAAAACCAATTTCTCCCCTTCGGCATCCTCTCGTAAGGAGAACAAATGAAGAAATAACTGAACGTTGACAGTGATGGAAGTTAACTACGTTACATACAACTACATACTTTTCTTGAATATTTCAATTTGATGCTACTTTATTCTGCTGCTCCATTGCACTTCAGAGGGAAACAATGTACTTTTTATTTTAGAGAAACATATAATCTGTTTAAAAAATCTGATGCATAGTAATAGATGGACATGTCGGATCATAGATAACCATTTAAAATTAACTTCACTTCGACCAACTACAAAAATCCATTAACACATTTATGCATCAGTAATAATAATAATCAAACACATTATAGATTAATATGACTGATACTGCCGAGTGCTTCTACTTGTCATTCTCTAAGTACATTTTGCTGATAAGGCTTTTGCACTTTAAGTTAAACAAGTTTTTGAGGCAGAACTTAGACTTATAATGAATATTGTTCCATTGTCACATAACTACTATAACTACTAGACCTCATGGATAGCCTTTTCTTTTGTCTGTCAGGGTTCAGTAAGATGAATAGTTATTCTGCAGTGTAACAAAAAAAAAAAGAAGAAAAACTTTAACTCTTTGCCTTTTGGGGTCATGTCCTATTGTTGGCTGAATTTCAATTAGAAGTTAAGAGTTTCCATTGTCTTGGACGTGGTACTTCTATACTGCATGCTGACATTTCACCAGACAGATATGGCAATTTTTGGGTTGTGGCCGTATTTTAAAGTTGTCTCTACTCTATTTTGTTCTTTCGCCGATCCATTGCACTTTTTCCTGACTCTTCAATTTCTCTGTACCATTCTCTCCTCCCCTTACTTGACGTTTCACTCTTATTCACATTTCATCCTCGTTCGCCTTCCCTCTCCCTCTGACTCTCTCAACCCACCACACATACATCCACTGGTATTGTATATGCAGTGATTTTTTAACTCCCATTTACTCATTCAGTAACTCCCATGCTGAGAAACAGTGCGAGTGCTGTGATTTCTGGTGCAGATGCCCATGGAAGCAGGAGATAACTTCATGTGGCTGCACTCAGCAGTATGGAAGCTATATGCCAGGGATTTAACACCCACAGCCAGTGATTACACTACAATTCAAGCTTAATCCTCTCTCTATTACTGACAGACGACCATTCTCTATACTGCTTTATAATGCATTTATTTAATTTGTGTGTCCATATGTGTGCATGTTATTCCAGTGACAGTGCTGTGTGGGACATAAAATTGCTCATTCTATTCATGCTTGTGTGCTGACACTGTGTGTGTTTTACGTAACAGGTTTCTGTAAGCATTAGTATGCTTGCGCAGCAGTAAAATGTAATCTGCATGATGTGTTTGCTTCAGTTTATCAAATTTAGCAGGTGGTAATTATGCAAAGGAGGAGGTTGAATTAAAATAGCTGATATATTACAAAATACAAGTTTCTGCACCTAAGAAGAGAAGGAAAGGAGAGGGAGAGAAACAAGAGTGAGATGGAGAAAGACAGGATGAAGATGAACAAAGAAAGGAAGAGAGACACCTGATGGAATTGATGGCATCGATGGAGCGCAGAGAGAAGTGTACAGTCCTCTCATATGTCAGCACTACAAATGATAATTATGTGAGCACAAAATGCATGTGTCTGTGGATGTGGATGTGTGTGTATGTGCGAGTGTTCGTCTTCAGTCTGATACTGAGAAACAAGTCTTGAGCTAGTTAAAAAGTCATTATCATTTTAATTGCCAAGCTTTAACATCTCAAGGAGAACTCATGGGTAAAGTAGAACAAAAAGTTGATAATCTTGCCTTTAGATTTTGTGTGTGTGTGTATGTGTGTGTGTGTACGTGTGTATGCATGAGTGTGTGGCCTCACAGAGGCAATTGAAAGGCTTCTCGAGTTGCTTTTTCATCACACTGACTCTAATTAAATCCACTTGTGTGTAACTGCGTCTATGTGTTTGAGGTAATTACCAGTACAGGCCATCTAATATCTAACTCCCCCTCTCATAATCTGGAGATTATGCAGAAACTCTGCTTGGATGTTCAAGGAAACATGTTGAAACCCAGTGTGTAATTAATAAGGTTAAGTGACCACCTCCATCGCAAATGATAAACTGTGTTACAACCTGAACACCTCCACACAAGAGATCTGTCATTTTTAGTACGATGCTGTGCTTTAGAATACATTTGTTTTCTTTTGCAGTACTTTTGAACTTTTTAGCATTAGAGAGGATGACAGAAATTTCACAGAAACTCCACGACAGCTTTGACATCAATTAATCATCCCCACTGTGACCTCTGTATTTCACATTTTATGCCACTTGCTGAGACTTCTGAAGAAATCTGCTTAACTGTTCCTGTCATCATTTTTAGGCCGATGATTTTCAGTTGTACTGCGCTTTTGAACGTGATGAGAGTAACAAATTGTCCATTTTAAATGGATGTTTGGATGCCATCAAGATTTGGATGGCTGACAATTGCCTTCAATTAAAGGTAAATAAGATAGACGCTCTTATAATTGCTCCTGAAAATTTCATTCCAAAACATCAAGCAGCATATGAGGTCGTTGACCAAGCTCTGTCTTTTGATAATTATGTCAGCCAGTTTATGTGCTCACTCATGTTTTTCCAATTGTGTCAAATTCAATTCTGCATTCATTTTAAAATCCTGGCGCTAACCTTTAGGGCCTTGCATGGTCAAACACCCCAGTATATTACTGACCTCCTCCTCCCTTACACAGCCAATCAGGCTCTAAGGTCTTCTGAACAAAAATTACTGGCTGTTGCACCCAATTTATGTAATGCTCTCCCTTTGCCTCCACGAAATACTCCAGCGAAATCTTCATGAAGCAGCTGAAAACGTCATTATTTAGACAGGCTTTTGGTTAGCCTGTCGGAATTGCTGCTCCGTTTCATCTATTGCTTTTACTTGGCTTATTTCCTCGTCTGTGTTCTCAAATTCTATACTTAATTATGTGTCTCTATCCTCCTTTGTTTTTTGTTGCTGTGGATTCACCTTGTCGGCCCTGTGCTGTTTGTTGTCATTGCCATTTTTAACTAATTAAATCACTTTGTGAGTTTGTACCTTTAAAAGGTACTGTACAAATAAACCTTACTTACTTGCTTTAAACAGGGAGCTACGCAAAAGTCTTCCCAATATGTTACAAAAGAGTGGCATATGTGGTTTCAGATATATTGTCATCGGAGATTCACCATCAGTGTAATCAGTGAAGTGCACCCCTGATGTACAGTCCCTGTGCTTGATTGTGCATTGTTTGGGAATGACCAAGGTTTACGAGAGTCAGTTTGTAGAGACAATTCTCCACCTCTCAGGAGCAGGTGCAAATTTGCAGAGTGATATTAGTTTGTAAGAGAACATCTGATCACCCTCTATTCTGTAGATCTCAGTGAAACAAACAGAGGGTGAAAAAAATACACCATGAAATACACCAAAGAAATGTGTCTTAGAAAGACAAAGAGCAGAAATGATAAATGAGTAAAATATATAATTATTCAAGGACACACAAAAATGGGGAGGGGACATGCATGCATAAATATGAATATATTAGTAGAGGTGCTACAGCTCAACTGGGACTTTCCTTATTTGATGAGACATTTACAAATATGCATTTGGCTGCAGGTACTGTGGAGATATGGAGGAGATATTAGCCATATCGATTATATCTTCCACCTGCTCTGGTGTGTGTGTGGGTGTGTGTGTGTGTGTGTGTGTGTGTGTGTGTGTGTGTGTGTGTGTGTGTCTGCAGCACTCAGAACAGATCTGATCTGCTCCCTCTACTGTGGTGGTCAACCGCAATGTTGCAATTATTTGTATTTTCCGTATCTTCTGATCATGCTTTTGTGTTATTCCATTTATTTCACATTGTAATTACATTTATTTTACTTTAGAATTAAATATTGTTTTTATTATAAAGCACAGCATTTCCTGCAGCACTCGTTTTAATGAATCATAAATAAGCTTTATTTTCATAGTTCAGCTGAAGTGTTTCATAATCTCTTTCCCTCTTTAATAAGTAGCCTAATTAGATATCAGACATAACTAAAATGAGTCCTTGATTGCTGATTTTCTGAGCATGCTGGTCACCACTGAACTGTGCCTTTAAACTCTCTTTCACTTGGAGATTGTGTAATTAGTTGCTATTGTAGTAGATCCTATCTTAATTTCAAGCAAATTGTGAGTGCAAAGTGAGTAATTATTATTATTTTTATTTGCCATGGTGTAGCATTTCTTTGGCCATTTATTGGACATATGGACCATACACAGACACAGCTGGATACCAACTGTAATTTCTGCTCACATGGCATTTGTGTCACCTACATGGGAATGTTGTATTTTTCCCTGTCAAACATGTGCACATGCTCTAAATCCACATATCCACAGAGCCACATAAATTTACCTGCTACACCTGTGTGTGTGTGTGTGCACCCAAATATATATTCTCATACATATAATAGAAATATATACAACTAAATAAATATGCTTGTTTCTTCGTAAAACAACCTTATCAAAAGCACCAAACAGTGCAATAAGAGGCTGACAGGTGTGCTTCCCTCAAAGCTGCTGGTCTAAAGACTTGGTCAAGGTTTACACAGTGAAAAACGACTGACCTTTCGCTAGTAGGATTTCAAGATATCTTCTGAAACTGAAGTACCATTTTAAAGCATTTGAAAACACACACACACACACACTTATATATATATATATATATAGATACATACATACATAATACAATCAACAGCAAACTGACTTTCCAGAAAGAATGCCTCAGTTACTTTGGATTATCCACAAACCTCAGTATGAACTGTTTTTACAGGGACTATTTCTTTGGGTAAACTGACCCTATTGAAAGCAGTCTAAACTAATAGTAAAGAATACTAATGGAATGAATGGTATACTTTTTTTAATCTTGTTAATGACTGCATTTTGTCCATTTAACATTTTGTTTTTTTCCATCTTACTTTCTTGACACTGAAACACTGTTAATATAATTCTGCTTGAAAATCTGTCTGTGTTTCAGGTTTTCAGGCTCTTTCACCACCCTCCTGTCAGAAGCCTGGCACCCTGCTGCAACAAAGTGGGTAACTGAATCTGTAACAAACATGGTTGATAGTTGTGATAGAACACCTTCCAGATTGTGTTTGGCCAGCCATTAAGAAGCTGTGTTTTTTTTCTTTTTTTCCAGTAAATGTTTCTCCTACCTGACACACATTAATTTATGTGCCAAGCAGGGGAAGGAACATCCCAGCTGAAACAAAACACATAGAAGATGTTTGTGTACCCAAAAAGAGACAGCATCTGGTCAAAGTGTCAGTTACACAAACAAGACATATACTCCAACAAAACATGTGAGCACAAAGCATAAGACGGAGTTAAAAAAACATTTGTCCAATTCAGTGTAGCCTGCAGTGGTTGGGAAGCCAGGTAATGAAATGTTATTTTCCAGTGATAGAGAGTTATAGCAATAGGCCTCGCAAAGACATAAGCGCTTATGAATTTGGCGAGTCCAATCTTAAAGAAGGATAATGCTCTCAGCACTCAGGGAAAGTCTGACAGATAATCTCCTGAGTGGCTGTTAATGTTATCATCAGAAGATGACCTTTTCTCACAGGAAACCAACCTGAAAACAGTGGCCAGAATAATGTAGCATTGTTAGCTGAACTTGTGACTTGCCTTTGGTTATAAGATTTTTTTCACAGCCAATTCATTTGAAAGAATCACATATATATATTACAATGATATTGATGACATATCTGTTATAAAAAATCTGTGATATTATTACTGTGACTATTGATGTTGGTGATATCTATGTTACTTATTTATTCAATTTTTTTTTCATTCCCACACACCATGGATTCATAATACACGGCATTCACACTCAGATTCACGATTCACGCACACTTTTTTCTTTCTTCTGGCCCTACCTCATATATTAATTTAAATTCATAGTACAATGTACTCATAATCTCTCACACACACACACACACACGCACACACACGCACACACGCACACACGCACACGCACTGATTGAGGCTGGCTGAAAAATTTGCTGGAGAAGTGAAAAATGAAATAAACACAAACAATATCTGAATGTGTCATTACTATTGTGTATTATTTAACTTTTTACTGTCCCTTTATGTTTTTCTCAGTTACAGTTCTAACACATCTTATTGTATTTTGCATCTTATAATAATTAATGCTTTACAGTGTATATAATAATTTGAACCTCTCCAGCATTAGTGCTACTTCTTAAAACATGGGTTTTCATGCATACACACTGGGTGTTCCAAGGATAAATCACTTACCTAGTAATTACAAGGTAGCATGATCAACTACGCCACCCACCTTAAACACATTTATTACAATTGCTTCACTCAGAATTGAGTAACTGGAGCTTGAAAATGGAAAGAAAAGGGAGAATAACAAGAAGAAAAAAAAAAGAATACTGAGAACAACTTCTTACTTCTCCTCTTGCCAACGTCTCCCTTGGAGGTGGCAGCCTCATTCAGCAGCACCATCCCCATGGTGATTGCAGCATCTGGGACAAGGTTGTCAAGGAAACAACACACTCCCATACAGGAGAGGAAGAAGCTGGAAGTACATACTGCCCCAGTAAGAACTGCTGAACACACATATGCACTCACAGATGTGCACATTTCAAGCAGATTAGCGAGAACAGCAGGCATGTCGTCTTGTAGCTTTAAGCATATGTACAGGATGTGGACGCAATGACATGAACACTTGAACAACATATGCAGTCCAGTACAACAGTCGTAGAATAAATAGAGACTAATTAAAAAGTCATAACCTTCATGTTTGTTAAGACTGTGTCAGAGGAGTTAATTAAACTGCTAATTTTAAGGCCAATACTTAATGGTGCATTGCATTATACTGTATGTTGTAATAGAAAACTAAAAATAAAAGAGGAGGAAATGCTGATAGATACTCTCCCTAGGACACTCTCCCTTTCCCTGAGTATTTTAAAAGGAGCGTCACAGGCAGTTTTGTGTTTTCTTTCTTCAGGAGAGGATAAGGGGTCACATGCCAACACAAAGAGTTTTTTAAACTATTCAAATAAATCTTCAGTGGTATAGCCTTACCCTTGGAAGGAAAACATCACAATGGATTTCAAGTTCAGTGATTTAAAAAAAAGAAAAAAAAGAAAAAAAGAAGGTGATGTCAAGTCAACTCTGCAAAGAAAACACACTAACAAAGGGTCCTTTTGCTAGTGTGTTTTGTGAGCACACATCAACAAAACTACAATGTATGTACACACAATAAGACACAGTGATACAACACAACCTTGCCTTTAAACACAAAATAAACACGCACACACGAACGAACACACACTCACACACACACACACACACTTTCTCTCAGATATAAGGTCGGATGAAAGGGAGAAATTTATTTCTATCCACTCAACATTCCTGGGACATCTGAAGTAACAGTTCTATTTTTTGTCCATTGTACAATGAAAATGTATTGACTTTTTTATTTTTTATTTACTTTGATACTTTCCGTGTACTGGGCACAAATTTAAGCTTGCCTTACAACAGTGTGTCCCATCCACATTGTGGCACAAATTATGTAAATTCATGACAAGAATATTTATGTCTTTCTGAGAAGTTAAAGTTTGTGAAAGTCTGAATATTGATTCTTAAGTGTTAGACACAGTGCAACATTTAGCACTTTTGGTTTTTCAAATTTCAAATGTGTTACTAACAGTCAATAATTAGAACAGCACTTTAGTGGATATTCAGCCTCAGTGATGCTTGTTTCATATCTGCAACAGTACCTAGATTATGAATGCAGCTGTTTTTTCCTTATGCCTGGACTGAAGCTGTGTGCCTCCTCCGAACTCTGCATATAAAAAAAAAGACACGAATGAGCGAATGCACAAATGTACAGACAACTCTAATAAATATCCATTTAAATCATCAAATAAACAGGAGGCATATTTGATGTTACATGGTCATGTCCCTGATATCTGTTGAACATTATGCTCTCAAGCAGTGTACATTGTGATGCACTACAATTGCACACGGTTGCAGAAAGGTAAAGCAATTTAATCCTGACTGAGCCGATTTTGAATCTTGTTGACGAGGGGATGAAAAAGTAATTGTTGCAAAGATGAACAAAACATACTGCCAGTCAGCCAGGATTTTGTGACAAAATGTCACTGTGACTACGTATGTGTAGGTGAAATCACTTCTCATCTGCCTATGTTGACTTATCAATTACCTGCAAATATACCTTTTTACTGCCATGTAAATGCTTTTCCCAATCTGTGATTGCAGTTTCAGCTTTGAATTTCCTCTGAAAGGATTTCTTTTGTTGTCTTCATGTTTTAACATGTTTTGAGAGTGTCTCTTCTCGCTGTAGAGAGCTTTGACTGTGTGGGAAACCAATGATGACGTGGGCCTCTAAAGCCCCTTGAGACATTTTTGATTTGACTCAAAAATCAACTGATCATTTTTAAGACTTACATTGGTAGAATGCAATCGTGGTATTTAGCTATTGTTAGAGTTATACCGTATGTCTTGTTGAGATAATAACATAAATATTTGATTATGATTCATACAATACTGTGAACATCAAGCATTGCTCCATTCAACGTCTAAGCTGTTGTACAATCACTGAAAAGCACAGCCTCACATGGCTTCAGACCTAATTACAGATTCTTCTCTTCATCATGCTCTGCATACAAATCCACATAACTGAAGAAAAGCTGATGAAGTGCACAAACAAAGGCTGCTACGTGGGGAGATACAGAGCAGAAACCGAGGCATCCTCTTGATGATATGGTAAAAGACACGATATGCTGGTGAGACACAAAAACTAGAGATACCTCCATGTACAGCAATGGAACTGAACCATGGAAGGTGCCAGTTTAGGTGGTCACAGGAAGCTTTGCGACAGCATGATAGTAAAGTCATGATAATGAATAGAGAACTATCAGTACAGAGATTTAGACCATGCAAATGCATTGAATAGTAATTATAAATACAGACTTTTCCCTGAGCCTCAAGACATCCTAAACCAACACCTGTCTGCAGCAACAGAACATCAGACATGTGTGAAGCACATTAGATTGAACAGAACACTGTGTGCTGCCACCATGGCAACTGTCCACTCTGATCATCCTATTGCCAGCTCTGCAATCTGCATTAATTGTATCCACCGTGGCACGACCCAATCATCCTGGAAAATATTCACACAATAGTTGTGTGTGCTTTATACCTTTGGAATAAAAATGTACCTTTTTCCTGCTTAACTAGTTGATATACAAGTCAAACCGGCATATATTTGTTAATGTGCAAATCAACAAAACAAAAGGTTTGAAAATCTGGGTGCTGAAAGCTGTAATTCTACTTTTCATTGGCAACAAAATTTCAATCAACTGCTTCCACTCCACTCCACTCCACTCCACTCACACTGATTTTACAAGTTTAAAGATGTCATCGGAATATAAAGCAGGCACAACGCAGAGAAAACCCCTGCAAGCACAAAATGAAATTCCAGTTGACGCAGAGGGCCATGATTCAAGCTCAACTCATCAAACTTGGAGGGATGATATGGCTGTATTTGTCTGTCAATATGTCAGTGTGCGTGTCAGAAGGTACACCTGAGAAAAATACATACAGTCTAGACAGTCAGTATTTGGACAGTCACACAGAATTGGTTCTTGAGGCTCTGTACTTCAGCACATACAATTTCAAGTAAAATAAAGAACACAACACAGAACACATTAAAGTTCCAAGTCTCAGCCTTAATTTGAGTAGGTTTAAGTCAATATTGAAGGAACTGTGTGTGAGATACACTATAGCCCTTTTAACAGATGGTGCCCAAATTGCAAGGGCTCAAAGGCAATTAGACACTTGGCTACAATATGTTTCTTTCTGTGTTGTTTTAATGTTAGAAGAAGCAGGTGCATATAAGAAAAATATAAAATGGCAAAACACCTGGCAGACCGAGGAGCACAAGTCTTGTGGATGAGCAGAAAATCATTTGCACAGTGAAGAAAAACTCCTTTATGACTGCACAGCAAGTCAAGAATGCTTTCCAGGATGTAGGCGGATATGTTTCCTTGTCAACGATCAAGAGAAGACTTCATGGGCATAACCTTAGAGGATTCACCGCAAGATGCAAACCCCTGGTAAGCCTCAAAAACAGAAAGGCCAGGCTGCAGTTCACAAAAAAAAAGAAAGTGGAAAAAAGTTCTATGGAGTGATGAAACAAAAATCAACCTCTATCAAAATGATGGAAAAAGGAAAGTGTGAAGAAAAAAAAAGCAACAGCCCATGACCCAAAGCTACCACATCATCTGGTTTCAATACTGATGGAAGCAACAGGATGAATGCAGAGGTATACAGGAGTATTCTGTGCTCAGATACATCCAAATGCATCAAAAAACTCCTTGGACAACATTTCATCGTTCAGTGGGACAATGAGGAGGAGGAATATCCTTCATCGATCAAGTCGGTCACCTGATCTCAGAGCTTCGTTCTACTTGACAGACCAGACTAAAAACTAAGAGACGCTTCCACAAGCAAGAGCTGAAGATGGCTGCAGCGAAGGCCTGGGAGAGCATCACCTGGGCAGATACAAACATCTGGTGATGTCTATGGGTTGAAGACTTCCGGCAATCAGACTGTTCAGGATTTTCAACAAAATGTTATCTAGGGTGATTTTGTTTGACTACATTTGTATCCGTCCAATTACTTACGAAGGCCTAAACATTTAGCACTATGTGTTGAAAGGGCTACATCCCCCACAGGTTTCTTTCTATATTGATGCAAACCTATTATTTTATGTAAAGCTGAATGTAAAGCCTGGAGACTAAACACCTGGACTGGCATCTGAACTGTATATCTGTGTTTCTTCCTCATCCTACAATGGTATAGTTAATGAACTGCTTTGGCACTTGTGTGTGTGTACATGCATGTATGAGGAATTACACAAGGTTACAGACAACAGGGTAGGCGTGTTGGCGTTTCAGCAGGCGTGAATGTGTGCGTGTGTGTTTCATTTAGATGTAATCAGATGGGCAGAAAATAAAAAAATAAACTGCGTGAGCGTGGACAAACAAATATTGCTCTGCAGCAGGTGCGACCTTGGACCTGCTATTTCCCATGGGGACGAACACAACAGCTAGGGATGAACAGTATCATTACCCGCACACATAGAAAAGCACCAGTGCAAGTACACACGGGTACACAAGCAGACAGAGAAGTAGACAAACACAAACAGAAACATCTATCCTGCCAAACAAGTACACAAGCAAACACTCATACACACAGACACAGCCTATCATCAGGGGTTGAATTTGGAACAAATCAGGCAAGGAGATGAACTTAAAAGAGGACAATCTCTTGTCTTTGTATTGTCTGTTTGTTCAGTCCAGCAGGCTGCCTCCCTATGGAGAGTGCACACAGATGACAGAGGTTTTCGTGTTGAGAAAACAAATGTAGAAGAATGGCAAAATTGGAAGGCTGTGTCCAACATATAAAAGGTGGCTTCCTAACTGTTGTGTGTGAACAAATGAATAATTAAAGAAATTTTTTGCCAAGATGAGCTGCTGGACATTTCATTGAGAGTTAAATTTGTCTGGATGATTCGCATTTTTGCAGCACCATGTTTCCATTTATGTTGACACATGAAACATACACACGTACAAACAAACTCTAATCACGCAGATCCCTGAAACACGGCGGTGAAAGGATACTCAGGAGAAGGATGATGTGAGACTCAGCCACAAACTGAGCCTGACTGCTGCCGTGAATATAACTCTGTGGGAGAGAGAAAGAGAGAGACAGACACGTAAGGTGACCATTGTCATTTTCAACTGTCAAAAAGTTACACTGGGTAACATGCTCAGTAGAACTTCCAAATTGAAGAAATAAAGAAACATAGATAATTTTAGTCATGAACAGTGAAGAACAGGATGGTTGGAGATACCCAGCAGAAATGTTGGAAACACTGAAAGAAAGGGATTTCGGAAAATTACCAGTAAAAAGGTCATAACTTCTTCTTTTTTTTTTTTCTTTTTTTTTTAAAGTTACAGAGCGTAAATGTCATAAGACAAAAAAAAATTTTTTTTTTTTTTTTTTTTTTTTTTAAATTTAAAAGGGTAAAAGTAAAAAAAAAAAAAAAAAAAAAAAAAAAATCCAAAATGAACGAGCTGTTTAACTTTTAATTGTATCTGGTACCATTCCAAGAGAGAAGCTTCTAATGGTTTATGAATCTACAATGATGCCCGACAACCCTTTATCTTTTGAGTGCAATATCCATCCCTGAAATAAACAAACCTGGACTTTGTTGTAGCCACAATGGTGTTCCTGGCTTAATTTCATTCTTTGCTTTATCATGACAGACACGATAAAACGTGTCTGACACAAGCACATATGGTGTTGTGAAATGCATGAGGGAGATTATGTCGAGTTTAACAGTGTATCCATGCCTGTGCCTGTGTGTGTGTTGTGAGCCACAAAGAATTCCTTCATCTAGTGTGTAGGTGTATAGCGGTGCTCCCTTTTCACTGACTGGGCAGGGAGGCCAATCTAACCCTTCAGGAACACTTACACACACAGACACACATACGAATGCAATAACTCACATTCACTGCCTGACCTCGAAATGCAGACTCCCACTGCTAAACTTGCTGGTACTGTACAACCTAAACTTAATGCATCTATCCTGCATTAATGCTGCTTCAAAATCTTTCAGAGAACAAAACAAGTAACCAAATAAGTCGCATGTCAACAATTCTTCTTTGTTCCAGGAAACGGACAGAACAGAGGATCATCTATCTATATTTTGATTGTTTTGAGGATACAAAAGATGTTATTATTGGCTTTTTTTGTCTGCCCTTTACATGGTTTAAGTTAGGCACAATCATTTACCTGGAATCAGTAATGTTGCAGTTACATGTTGTCATTTTTATTGGCTGGAAGAAGAAGAGGTAAGCGATGTGGAGCTGAGGGAGCAACTCTTTGAGTTAAGCCCATATGATGGATTTAAGAGAATTTGTGGCCTTCACCAATTTTCTTACACTTAGAATTTGTCTGTAAAGGTGTTCTAACTAGCAAACCAAGCTTACACATCACATCAATTTTCTCTTTATAGATCACTGTCAGTCACAGTCAGTACCAAGGACACACTGTTCCTTCAGTGTAACGGCGCAGTGTCTCCAATCCCAAGCAAGCTTCTCTGGTAGGATGACAGAGGCCTAATTTTACTGGTATCTTCCTCTAACTGATGGGGAGATGCAGAGAAACAGACAAAGGAAGACAAAGTGGAAGTCTTGTGGAAATGAGACAAATAGAAGAAGAGAGAGACAGAGGAAGAAAGTCTTTCAGTTTGTTTCACATTGAATCCTTGCAGACTATTCGCATCTAGGTTTACAGCACATCTAGGGTCTCTTTTTCCGCTCGACTGCCCCAGTGTTCATTTCTTTTGCTATTAGACAGGAATAAGGATGGAAAGATGAATAGAAGACGACAAAGGAGGAGGAGTAAAGGGTGGACAGCTTTTTCTTGCTTCAGTGGAGAGAAATGGAGAATTTTTGCACTTGAAAGCAGACATTAAGACGACAAAGACTCAAGGCTGAGACAGATCCTTTTGTCTTCAATACCAAACCTGGGTTTTTGAATTGTTATCAAGATGCTTTCCTTATTGACTGACAAACCAAAGCCTCTTCATTAGCACAATAAAAAAAAGTTGTCTTTATTTGGAACTTGGCGGGAGATTACTTCTTGCATTCCTATTCACTACACAAAGAACTGCAAATGAATCTTGGAATTTATCTTCGAATCAAAAGCTGGACTTAATAATACATTATTAATTTTCTCAAAATGTTAGTTAAATTCCAGGTTAATCAAAGGTAAAACTCACAAGCACAAATATGATAGAACATTGACCGTAAATTACTGTGGAAAAACACAAACACACAAGCAAAGACAGATCTAGTGCTGTAGCTTTCTGGCACAACCTTCTTAATGGTATTTGGCCTTTGGACAAGCATGCACATGAAATTAAGGGGAATGACTTGACTAGAAATATTGTGAGGTACTATGGTAGTATGTAAAATGATTTATAATGTAATGTAAAATGCCCTTGTCTGTTGAAAATTTTGAAAATGCATCTCGACTGTTCATTTGAAATGAGAGACTTCTCAACTCTCATATCAGCCTATACATTCAACGAGTTACCAGTTTATAAAGCTATATCAATCCACATCCAGTCCTCTCAATTGCAATGCAATAAATCCTACCTAACCCTGCCTTTGAAATGTGTAACAAAAGAACCGTTGAGTTGAATAACCACTTCTCTATGAACACAAACTGAGTAGGATACAGTTGATAACGGTATTGAACTGCATTAAATTAACAGTATCAAAGTCAAACAGTACTACTACTAGCAGTTTTTCTTATATTGTGGTATATTACCTATTTATGGTAGCATACTCATGCAAATGTGGACAACCACACTTATTGTAGAGATTTTGTAGATCTCGAAACGAGGAAAGATTAAAAGACAAAGGGAATATTTGTGAAATCTTCAGTAACTGTACAAGAAAAAAAAACATACTTGCAGGGTAAGGAAGCAAAGCTGTTTCGTGAAAAAGACACAGCTGTGCCATGTTACAAAAGACTAACTAACTACTCCAGATGCAAACTTTAATTGAATAAGAAGAGCTCAGTCCCTCAGATAGTGGAAATGATTGCTGAGTAGATATGGCAGGTAATAAGGAAACCGGGCAAAAGAAATAAAAAATAATTACAAACAATATCACAAAATAATTCCTGAAAAGCTCGTAAAAACCTCACATCAAGGAACAACAAGTGCATTATTTTCCAAGGGAGGGATTTTTTCTTTCATTACCAAAACTAAACAAACATTACTTCATACTACTTCTCAACACACTGTTCTCTGCATGTGACCCCTCTCAACATAAACAGAAAATGCAGATAGAGGCTATGAGAAAGAGCAGTGCTGGGGGATGAAAAATTCCTCAATCCATGGCCAGGCACTTCCAATTAATCTGATGGATTAGAATGCAGGAGTTCCATTCATTAGTGTGCAGAGCTGAGAGTGTGCGTGTTTCAGTGTAGCTATGCATGTGTATACTGGAAACTACTGAGTGAATGTGTGTTTGTGAAGTGGACTGTTTAGGGAGCATTTTTCTATGTGAACAAAACTGTGTGTGTGTGTGTGTGTGTGCTCATTAAAAGGACATACATCGAGGTGGTCTGGTAGTAAAAGAAACCATAGCTCGTGTATCTAACATGGAGATGAATGGAAGAGCTGGTAACTCAACATTCACACTCTATAGCTCGCTCTCTCTCCGACCTAATCACGCATACCGGTTACCTACATATACCAACTCATACACTTGCAGTCTTTGAAATATGGTTTGGCGCTGCATATAGCCAGAAATGATGCAAAAAGGGACCTATTATACAGTTTAGATGAAAATGGACGGAGACAAATTAACCTGTTAAGACACCCAATTACATAGATGAGGACAGCTTCCAATGCTTCTACCACCAAATTACCACCATGTTCTTGTTGTAAACAAGGCAAGAGAACTTTACTTCAAAGGTTTCCCCGCGGAATCACATAAGGACCTTCACTGATGTACAGCCCATCAACAAAACAGCTTTTTTTGGCTCCATATCATGGTCGATAATATACAGGTTCAAACATACATCTTAAACCATCTGTAAATGCTGGATTTGACCATGTGGATGTTTGAATTGAACTTTAATTTATTTGGGAGACTGTGTGAATACATGCCTCAAAAGCACATCTTTAAGAAGAGGTCTGTCGTGTTTCACCACTATCTTGTTTGAGATAGTGGACTTCTTTTAACTAAGACTTTATACACATTTGGTGCGCTGGAAAGTATTTATGGCAGCAGGACAGTGTCTGTGAGATTGACTTAAACCCAACCCCAACACAACAAAATGGGGAAAAGGTGAAGGGGTCTGAATACTTTCTGAATGCACTATGTGTGTGTTCACGAAGATGTGAACAGCCTGTGTGTGTCTCTGTTCATGCACTCATTTGAATACATTGACATTAAAAAATCTTGTTTATATAAGAACTGCATAAAACAGCTCATTTGTCAGACTTTGAAGCAAATTAGGTGTCTGCACCAATGCAAGCAATATAATATGCTTTTATATTCACACACAGATACACACGCATACACACAGAGGAAGAAGGTCATAGCCATCTCACATGTGTATTATTGTATGAAAATGAGGCTGAAAATAAGCTCTGGGAAGTGGCTGTCAATGACTTTCTGAACGTGTCACATCCACCTTGCTGCATATCACAGAAAAGTATTAGTAAAAATGTAATAGTTGACATCAGTGACAAGCTAATTCGACACTGATAACTCAAAGCATATGAGCAATGAGCAAACTTTTTCCCTCCTCTTGACTTGACTACTCTCTCTTTAAAACCAAACCACTGTAGTGTTAGCTGTTAATACCTGTGGGCCAGATAACCTTTACAAATAGCTATATTCATCCTTTTCCATCCGGTATCATGTATTTGTGTGTATAGTGTGTGTGTGAATGTGTGTTTGTGTGTGTTTTGTTTGGTAAAGGTCAGGAGGCACTCAGACAGGAAGAGGGATAAATGAAAAGTCAACAAAGCAGAAAGAACAGAGGGGAGAAAGAGTAAGTAACTGAGAGGAAGAGAGGTGGAGTGGAAATATATGCTTCATTTATATAAACAAAGGATAGGTTTGACTGTGTGTGTTACTGTGAATGGCTGT